ATGCCCGCCACCCTCAGCAATGGAATAAATGGGGACAGCCTGAATGCAGCCACCTATTATTATCCACCTGAAACGAGTCTCACTCTATCAACTTTAATACAGACTGAACCGCGATATATAACCCCAAAAATGTTATATCAAAAGGACCAGCTCGGTACCGTGATGTGTGCTGTTACTTTTATTGGCATTTTGAATTACCATGGTGATGAAATTTGGAAACAAATGCTGTTTTTCTCATTGAAAAACTCTGGCAGAACCCTTGGTCTCTAATTGCCACGATGAGGTCACATGACGTAGGAGTGTCAAACTCATTTGCAAAAGGGGGGTAAAATTACAAAATTATTTCAAACCACGGCCCAGTTTCAGTCAAAATACCTAGTCAGACACCTGACGTCTTTTCTTGGTTGCAGGCTCCTCGGGATATTTTTTTTTTGGTCTAATGTGATGTTCCCTGGTGCTTTTATCGTATCAAAATCAAAGATTAGGGTAAAATTTCAACTACTTTTCTTGGCTTCAGTGTTGTCCTGTTGTCTTGAGAAGCCTTGTGCTAGATAAAGTATGCTCTGTTTTAAAGTAAAACAAGAAGTGATACAAGTATTTTGAAATATAATTTTGAGGTCCAGATATGGTAAGAGCCATATTTGGCCCCTGGGCCTTCAGTTTGACATGTGAAATGTATGTCATCGTAGGTGTCTTTCTACCACCACATATTTTAACATGTACATCAAAACGTAGGCATTTTTGTCATTTGCATGTTAAAATGGCTGCCACATGGCAGTGCCCCATCAAACTTTCTCCAGGAACTTTTTTAGCTTTAAACATTATGCTGAAAAGAAAAGGAGCTAAAATAATTTTGGTCAAACCTTGTAAAATATATTTTGCGTGATCGCATGTAATACTGTGAAATCTCACAATAATCCTTTAAAATTGTTTTAGGGAAAACTCTCAGCTACTACCACACCCAGCTTTAGCTCAATATTTGGTCATTTGAACAAGTTATAGCTATTTTGGTTTTGGTTAAGATCAATTAGTTGTGGCATTCATCTTAATTTAGGTGACTCTAAAATGTCATAGTTTATACATTTCTATCCAATAATCACTTTCTGAAAGTTTCAATATAATTAGTTGAGTGGTTTATGAGATATTTTGCTAACAGACCAATAAGGCTGACGTTAATGGGTAACAGCAAAGTTTTCTAAACAGATTACGCAGGATCATTTAGTGCTCAGTGTTAAGAATGACTCGTCCACAAACATGCATTTAGCTCAATATAGGCAAAATCTTCGAGTGGAGTGGGGGCGCAGAGGTTATGGAAGGTGGGCCTGTGATCAAAGGTCGCCGGTTCAACTCCCCCGTACCAAACATCAAAAAGTGGGTGGGAAAGGTGAAACAGCAGCCGAGAAGGAAAAAAAAAAAAAAAGCTAAAAGTCTACCAGTTTCATTAAAATCTTCCCACTGGTTTATGAGATATTTTACTAACACTGCAGACACACTCAGACATTCACACAGGCTGCAAACTTCCGCGCAATAGATTTCAGTGTCACTGAAGCCGCTCAAATGTTGATGGAAAATGCTGACCGGGCAGTTCTTGCTCCACTAATTCCGAGTCTTTTGTTACAAAATGCAATTACGCTGCTTTGTTTCATCCAACTCTCTGCGTCTGCTAGATAATGACCTTAAGGAGGAATCGCCCTCCTCCCATCCTTTCCAATCAATGCCACTTCATGCGGCCGTGTAGTGGCACCTCGTATCGTAAAGCTCTGCAATCACTCGGCATCTGATAAGGACAGGAAAAGGGGATGATGGCCTTTTGTCCTTCTGACTCAGAATACCGTATCGGCGTAGGAAAAGCTCATCCGATGGCCACACATTGCACATTTAGGGCCAAATCCACATTTAGATCCCCGTTTGCGTCAGACATCCACATCCTGTCAGTCCCCCTTCACATAAACACGTTAATTTTATGTAAAACTCCTTCGTAGAATCTGCTTTCATCTCTCCCCGAACATTTCCATACATAAGTCGAGCCATTGTTTCGCCTCGGCTAGATTAAGCCCTCCGTTCAACGCCTGGTCGATGCTGAACAGACACCCCGATGCAGCGGGGAAAAAAAAACATTTTAATTACGTCAAAAAATAAAATGAGTCAGGGTGTAATGACAAGAAAAGACGGCGATTAGAGGAGCTCAACTGGAGGAGCTCGCTGCGGTTGAAAGCGTGATAATTAGACATTCCTTTCTGTGCGTGCCAGATACAAAGATTCACTAATGTAGAGCCTCTCTTCAATCAACGCACACATCCACCAAACGAGGCATCCACGTATATAAATTGAACTATTTTCTTTTAATATTAACAAAAGCAACGTCATCTTGAAGCGCTGTCAACAACACAAATATAGAAATATGTGTTCAACGTGCTGAGGCAGCGTTGGCAGGACTGTCCTCCTTCAGTCTCCATTTCTGCTTCCCATCTAAATCCAGCCAAGAAAGCGAGTCATTTGCACTTTTTATACATTTAGGAAAGAGACTGTGACGCGTGTTGCCCCCTATGGAGCAAAAAAAACCCAAAAAACAGTTATGCTGGTTGACGTTTTAAAACCAGCTTCGCACAAACAGGCACAACTAAAGAATGTGATTGGATTTTCAACAGTAAACCCTGTCGCATGCAATCAGAGCATCAACGCAGCACCAGCAGAGTTAGGTAATAGTTTGACTGAGGACAAGACACTCAGCTGTCCTCAAAAAAAAAAAAAACACAGGGATGCCAACAATAAAATGATCAACCACGTCCAGGTCACGACGCATGCATGAAAAGATCAACAGAACTGACTGAAACAAAGACGAATAAAACCTGTTTAGACAGTGCAATCGTAAAAATGTAGATTTTTTTTTAAATATGATTTATGTTTTGTCAGAAGTTTGGCCCATAAAAGCATATAAATGGAAGAATTGCCAGAAATAACTTTAATGTACAAATTTTTATGTTAATATGAGGTTGTGTCTGCATTATTTTGTAATGTGCATGCATTTATTTTACATTTTTGCTCTCGTTTCCTTGCTTTGTTCATATAAATTGTAAAACAAACTGCCAAATCTGTATTCATAAGGGGGTGCAAATGGTTCCTTTGGAATGCATTTGATTAAAGTTTAAAATTTGGCACCTGCTGTGATCCTGTTAATCAACAAACTATGGGAAAAGACCAATTTTTTTCCCGCCACACATGTAGCAATTCTGTTTGACATCAGTTATTTGGCACTAATTACAGGGTTGCCACAGAAACTCAGACCTGCAAACAGCTTTGATTTTAATTGACAGCTTTCTAATACCTCTTTAATTCAAGAAACCAAATGAAATAAGAAAAAAAAAAAGTCAGCCCAGCTGTTTTATTTCCACAAACAAACTAATCACCTTGATGAAAGGTGGTTCATACAAAATAACTCTGTTACATTTTAGATTTTCACAAGACAGAAGTAAAAATAACCTCAACGTCCTCAGATCCACTGCTAACAAGTTGGAATGCAGAATAGTTTCAAATGATGGAACAGACCGACTCCCAACAAGTGAAAATTCACAACTAAATCCAACTTTTTTGATCTGTATTAGAGTGAAAATAAATCAGACACTACCTCGAACCAACTCTTCCCTCTGCACTCATTCATCCTAAACGGCGGAAAAACTCGAAATCTCTAATTTACTTTCATCTTTTGGATTTTAAAGTACAAAACGTTACCCTTTTTTTTTTTAATGCAGATCTCTGCATCCTCAGCTGGGTTTACTGGGAGCGCGCGCTCTGTAAGCCTCCCACTGCATATGTTGGGAGATTCGCTCCCATCTCAAGCTCCATCATCTCTGTTTGAGGCTGTTGCGCTTTTACGCACGCCTGGCGTGGCCACCACGGTCTCTGCTTGTTGTTGTTTAAACGGATTTTGGGAGAGTCTCGGTGCAGAGCCACAGCTTTGCGTTGTGCTAATCGTTTGACTGATGGACACACAGAAACCGAGGGCAAGCGCCGTGTTTCCATCCGTTTGGAGCGAACATGCGCTAAAATGTCACAAATGGAAGTGAGGAAACTAGATCAGCATTGGGGGCGCCCAAATGACAGATAGGCTATACCTAAATATAGTAATATAAAAAAGTCGATTTTTTATGTTCATGGTGAAACATTAAGCAATAAAACATTGTTTTCAGAAAAATACGCACAGGACGTTTTTATCCAAATACAACTAGCGCATATGGTTTCCATAGAACTACAGGACATTTAAAAATGAATACAACCTTATTAACTAATATAAGCTCAAATGAGGAGGGGGTGAGAATATCTGAAGAAAATAGTGCACATATGCACGGTATGTGCATACAGTGTTGTGCATTTGGTAAAACAGCGCGCAACGTTGGCGCAGTGTGGCGGTTTTATATTATAGCATAATACAGTGACTCAAACATCCCTGGAAATTTAAAATGAGGGAAACAGTCCGTGACTTAAGTTCCACGCACATCTTTCTTTTAAAATGCATCGAACAGGCTTCTTGAATCCGCTCAGCACTAATTTTAATCCATCCTATCACGTATTTCAGCTGCCCCGGATTAATTCGTTTAATATATTTGAGCTCCTTACAGTAAATTTACGCACAACTTCTCTCGTATTCTCCAAACAAAAGCAACTTTCACATTCTGGAAATCTTGCAGAAAACTTGCTCAGAGTAACAACTGATTGGATTTCCCACCTTTTCTGTTTTGCGCACCAGACATTTGGGTAAAATACTAAAACAAAGGTGGTGGTCAAAGAAAGAAAGCCAGTCCGGCAGCGGGTCCAACTTCTGTCCGCAACCAGGTCCTTCTGTCGGAATGTCCTTGAGCAAGACAGTTTAACAAACCCACAACAGGCGCTCTGGCTCCTGCTTGGACAGCTTTAGATAAAATCTGCTTCAGACATGTCGACTGGTTTGATGTATCGGTGTGAACAGGGGAGGGGGAGGGGGGTATATTCAGGTATGAGCTTACCTGTACGCGCAATGTGCTCTCGGCGTGTTTTGGTCCGCTTCATGGCACCGGGGCTGCATGTCTGAGGACATGCTGGTGGAGACGGAGCTTTGGAGACGAGGAGCGCAACGGCGGCTGCCGGAGAAAAGAAGAGAGGGGGGGAGGGGGGGTGAGAGAGAGCGAGAGGAGAAGACTGAGATAGAAAAAGAGAGCTGGCATTTCTTTCACGAGTCCTTATTTGCCTTTTAGACTCTGACTTTGGCAGCAGCGCGTGAAGGGAAGGAAAAAAAACACAAGATTATAAGTGTGATGCTCACCAGCGCGCTAATTAAAGCTCGTGGCAGCCAAATCAGAAGCATGCTGCACATTTTCAGTAGAATAATCAGCTCTTTTAGCCTGTTCGTGCCCGTTTGACTCGGTGTGAATTGTGTTTCAAGTCACTTCAGTGGATTAGGGTTTGTCTGCTGGTTTGTGTGTTTTTCCAGCTCCGATCAGACAAAAGAACTGCACAGTTCCAAAGGCGTCTGTCGTTTTAGCACCAAGGAGGAACAGTGAGAACAGGTGGTCACAGTGCAAGCTGAACTGTATCACAATAATCAATGATGACTAGAACCATGCAGATGATTGTAAATCAAAGCTTGTTGTTTCATGATAACTGATTACACAGACATGTAACAGCAACGATTCGGTTTAATTCTGTCTCTATAGCATCGATTCATTTGTCACAACAGAATGTCCTAAAATGTGGAGTGCCACAGGGATCCATTTTGGGTCCATTGTTGTTTCTGATATACCGTGAGGAAAATACGTTTTTGAACACCCTGCGGCTTTGCAAGTTCTCCCACTTAGAAATCATGGAGGGGTCTGACGTTTTCATCTTGGGTGCATGTCCACTGTGAGAGACATAATCTAAAAAATAAAATAAATAAAAAAAAAATCCAGAAATCACAATGTATGATTTTTTTTTTATTTAAATAATTTGTGTGTTACTGCTGCAACTAAGTATTTGAACAACTGCCAATCGGCAACAATTCTGGCCCTCAAAAACCTGTTAGTCCGCCTCTAATAAGCTCCACCTCCACTTCACTTATTATTCTAAATTAGAAACACCTGTTTGAGGTTGTTAGCTGCATAAAGACACCTGTCCACCCCACACAATCAGTAAGACTCCAACTACTAACATGGCTAAGACCAAAGAGCTGTCCAAAGACACCAGAGACAAAATTGTAGACCTCCACAAGGCTGGAAAGGGCTACGGGGCAATTGCCAAGCAGCTTGGTGAAAAAAGATCAACTGTTGGAGCAATTATTAGAAAATGGAAGAAGCTAAACATGACTGTCAATCTCCCTCGGACTGGAGCTCCATGAAAGATCTCACCTCGTGGTGGATCGGTGATCCTAAGAAAGGTGAGGAATCAGTCCAGAACTACACGGGAGGAGCTGGTCAATGACCTGAAGAGAGCTGGCACCACTGTTTCCAAGGTTACTGTGGGTAATACACTAAGACGTCATAGTTTAAAATCATGCATGGCACGGAAGGTACCCCTGTTTAAATCAGCACACGTCCAGGTCTGTCTAAAGTTTGCCCATGACCATTTGGATGATCCAGAGGAGTCATGGGAGAAAGTTCTGTGGTCAGATGAGACCAAAATATAACTTTTTGGTCTTAATTCCACTCGACATGTTTGGAGGACGAAGAATGATGAGTACCATCCCCAAAACACCATCCCTACTGTGAAGCATGGGGGTGGAAGCATCATGCTTTGGGGGTGTTTTTCTGCACATGGGACAGGACGACTGCACTGTATTAAGGAGAGGATGACCGGGGCCATGTATTGTGAGATTTTGGGGAACAACCTCCTTCCCTCAATTAGAGCATTGAAGATGGGTCGTGGCTGTGTAAGAAGCATATCAAGGTTCTGGAGTGGCCTAGCCAGTCTCCAGAAATAAACCCTATAGAAAATCTTTGGAGGAAGCTCAAACTCCATATTTCTCAGTGACAGCCCAGAAACCTGGCTGATCTAAAGAAGATCTGTCTGGAGGAATGGACCAAACTCTCTGCTGCAGTAAACCTGGTGAAAAACTACAGGAAAACTTTGACCTGTGTACTTGCAAACAAAGGCTACTGTACCAAATATTAACATTGATTTTCACAGGTGTTCAAATATTTGCAGCAGTAACACACAAATAAATAATTTTAAAAATCATACATTGTGATTTCCGAATTTTATATATTTTTTTAGATTATGCCTCTCACAGTGGACACGAGAGGAAAATTTCAGACCCCTCCATGATTTCTATGTGGGAGAACTGGCAAAGTCACACGGTGTCCGAATACTTATTTTCCTCACTGTACATTAATCATCTACAAAGAGCATCTAGTATTTTATCACTTATATTTACTGATGATGCCAAAAACATGTATGGAAGAAAACTAAACTCAGTAGTGTGATTGTTTTAAGCATTTGCACCATTAGACAGGGAGCCAATGAGGAGCAGCTAAATCTGATCTCTCAAGTCTCATCAGAACTAGCAGCAGCATGTTCAATCAAGAAAAGTCTTCTTATATAGTTTTTCTTATTGTTTTTTTGAACATCCAGATAACAAAAAAAATAAAACAGTCCAGCCAAGAAGTAATAAATGCACAGAACTGTTGTTTGGCTTCATTTGGGGACAAAATGTTTCTAATTAAATTGATATTACGCAGGTGGAAGAAAGTAGTCTTGGTAAAAATAATTACATCATTCTCTGCTCTTTGTCAAATTTTGCACACTGGGCTCAAACTATATCTATTTTTATTTAAAAAAAATAAGACACTCATCACAGTACCCTCGGTGCCACCTATTAAACCACAGATATTCTGTCTGACAGTTTGAAATTGACCCTTGTGTAATAAAGGCTTAGTGTGACATAGTATATTGCTTTCTAAAAACCTGCCATGTAAAGACAAAGAAGTAGAATGTTTTTACTGACATCTACTGGGGACCGTCTTTGAAAGGCTGTTCTTCAGGATTTAGAAGATTTATATTTCGAAACGTGCCATATTGAGTCATCAGGAAATTAAAACATGTCAGACGTTAGTGTTTTGTTGTTTTTATGGAAAAGTAAAAAAAAAAAAAAATGTAACAATGTGGCTCCTGCAACAACTGAGACCATGTGAAGACTGTGACAGGAATAAAACACATCGGGACTTTTTATCTTTTGACGGCAAAAGCCATAATGATTTTGCTTTTTTATTTGTGTGTGTGTTTTGTTTTTCTGCACATTTAGCAAATGTATCCCACCACACAAAGGACAGATTTGTATAAAAGTCTCAGAAAATAATCATAAAATTTACCTCTACACCTGATTAATTTTTGGCTAAGCATCCTTAGCAAACACAAAATAAT